GACCCGGACCCGGATCGGCCCCGGGACCGGCATCCCGCTGCCCCGGCCGCAGCCCGGGTCTGTCCCGGGGCCGCGCCCGCCCGGGAGCGGAGCCGAGCCTGGCCGCCCGGGACCGGCCGTGCTCCGGCACATCCCGGCACGGCCCGGCACGGCCCGGCACATCCCGGCACGGCCCGGCACGGCCCGGCACATCCCGGCACGGCCCGGCACATCCCGGCACGGCCCGGCACGGCCCGGCACGGCCGGCACGGCCCGGCACATCCCGGCACGGCCCGGCACGGCCCGGCATGGCCCGGCACATCCCGGCACGGCCGGCACATCCCGGCACGGCCCGGCACGGCCCGGCACGGCTCGGCCCCGCCACGCTCGGGCCGCGCACGCCGCGGCGCCAGGCTCCGCTTCCCCCCGTGCCCTGCAACGCGAACCGGAACGGCGGAGCCGCTCGCTGTTCACTTCTTCACCGCCAGTCCCAGCTCCCCTGAGAACCCCGCACGTGGAAAAGGAGGATAGATTTTGTCCGGAGAAAATAAATTTAGAACGTGTCTTTCATAAACCAAAGCAATGATCTCGGTATACGTCTATATAAACCACACACGTGTGTCTAGGAAAAACACGAATTAAAAATAGAGACTTCCAAAATTATCATCCTTTTCCTGTTCTTCTCCATTTACCAGACAATATAAATAATAACAGAGCCATACCTACGGATCAAACAATGCCACAAGTTATATCCTCACCAAGTCTACACATCTTCACAGCCTCAGGGTGCTGTGGCAGGTGATCACAAAATCACCAGGAATTGTGCAGTAATTTGGAATACGTTAATACTGGAATATGTAATTTGGAATTCTAAGGAATTACACAGAACGTTTAAATTTTTCCTCAATAGTAAAACACAGACACAACTTCTTCCACTTCAAGGCTGAAAACTGTCTTGACTTATAGAAAACTGAGGCTCAGTGAAGGATATCAGCTAAAAATCATAAAAACAGAATCCAGAGCATAAGTGTTTAATTACATCTTTGTGCTTCTGTAGACTAGAAATGATTGCAGAAGAAACAGAAATCCATAGCACAGGACTTCTCTTCCCATCATATTTAACAAGATTCGGCCCCATCAGTACAATGACATTTTTGCAAGTACCAAGAACAAAACCTTCTCCTCCTCCTCCTCTCCCGCAGGTCCCTCCTGCCCGGGGCAGCCCTGGCACTGCGATGCTGGGCAGGGCAGGGCAGGGGACGATGCTGGGCAGGGTTTTTGTCACAGCAGGGCTTCTGTCACCCTGCCAGGGTGGCTTCCACATTTCAGGGCTCTCCCCAAACGCCATCCGTCCCTTCGCCGACACCGTCCGCCAGTGGTTTGGGAGATTCCCCATCCAGTCCGGGCACATTCGGGCTCCTGCTACATTCAAACCATGGAAATCATCAGGTGGGTGAATCCGAGGTGGGGGAAGCAGGACCAGAGGCGAGGGCAGTCCCAGGGAAAACAAAAGCCTGAACAGGAACTGCCACCCAAGGGCTGGAGTGTGACCGAGCTGCCAGAACCAAGGGGCTCCAACACAGAACAGAATCCACGGGGACACGGCAAACAGGCCACCACAACCCAGCACAGAGCACAGAGGAAATCATTCAGAACCTTGGCAATAGGATGCGGTGCCTTCCGTAAGGACAAAACCATATTCCGTGAGGGATGGGTGATCCAGCTGCACGGTGCCCTGCTCGGGGGGCACGAGCCACGCTCGCATGGCTGAGCCTGCCCAGGCACGGGGGTGGTGCTGGGGACACAACCTGACCCAGAGCTCGGCACGGGAACAGGGAACTCCCCCTCGAGATGAGCATGACAGAAATAAAACCTGTGGATGAAAACTGCTCCACACCAGGAAGGTTTGCAGGAGGCAGGAGCGCTCTGCAGAGTTCAGTGGTAAACACCAGGCTTGCAGCACAGGAAAATATGAATATTTAATATGTTTACTAAGAATCCCTGTCAGTCCCGTTGTGCACCGATGCAGAGCTACGTCCCCACGTTTACATTCGGGCTTCCCTCGCGGATCTGACGGGCACAGCACGCACACAGCTGGGAAATGAGGCGCGCCTTTGGTTTCCTCAGCTCTGGAAGCACTTTTGGAAGGGCCGGAGCCACAGAGGACCTGGGGATAAGGATGTTACTGGAACAGGTGAACATCCCATCACGGCTGGAAAAGGCCACAAGCTACAGCCGGGCTCCGTCTGGCAGATCCGTGAATTTTACAGCAGGTCCGTGGTGTGGAGGAACCGGGAGGAATCCCCCGTTAGGCAAAGCTCCAGCAGGGAAGCGAAACCCCTCGGACTCAGATTTACACGGCGAGGAACGAGTGAGGAAGGGCTGCAAACCGAGGGGCAGCTGCACAAAGCTGCCCCTTGCAGGGTCCATCCATCCAGCTCTCCACCAGGGGACACGGCTGCACCAAGCAGATGTAAAGGTAATGTTCTGTACATTTTATTTCAATAAAGACATAAGACAAACAGCGTAAAGATGCCCAGATGACCTAAAGATAAATACATTTAAAAGATTCTCATTAAAATGAATCTGTAGTATTTCTTTCCTGCAAGCAAAATACCTTTCTTTAAATACAAAAAAAATCAGTATTCTGAATTGCAAACGTTTTCACTTTTTTTGCAGAAAATCTGCCATGATGACTTTGTTTTTAATGAATAAGGATTTTCCACAAAACAGGCTTGCTCTACATGCTAAGTTTTAACAGTTCAGTGACACCATGTGCTAGCTACATACACAACAGATAATATAGTAAGAAAACACTCAACCTGATGAAAAGTTAAAATCTTCATTAATACACTGGAAAAAGTTGACATAACTCATGCCTTTTAAAATCAAAAATACAAAAATTAAATGTTTTGCTAAAAAGATTTTCCTTATTTTAAGGACTCATTTGAAAATGAAGCTGCATGTAATTTGTACAATAAAATTGTACAAGTAAACAGGTAATATACATAAAAAATTAATTGACATACTTCTCAATTATCAGCTATCCACCTTTAATTTCCAATACTGTACTTTCTTATCAAGCATACAAAATAGCAAACTTCTCTTTAGAAAAAGTGCCGTTCTGTGACATCTTTTACACAAAACCAGTCCGAGCCTGTGGCGTGGTAATGCAGTCGAGAGGCAAAGCTTCCTAACTCGTACAAATGCTACCTTCCATAGAAAGCCTCCGGGAAAGGCGACTCCCACGGCCAGAAAAGGTCCCCTCGGGGCGCTGCATTAGGAGCCAGGGCCGGGGTGGCCGCAGAGGAACCGGGAGTGTCGCGGGAGCCCTGCCCGGGGCAGCGGGAGCAGCCTGGCCACACCTGCCAGGTGAGCACACAGCAGAGCTGAGGTATTCCTTGTCCATCGTGGCGCCGCTGCCAGGTGTGCTCTGTCCAGAGGACGTGCCAGCGCACTGCTTTAGGATATTCCCAATATTAGTAATCCTTATCTTCGTCTTATCTAGCCAGTCTCTTGATTTTTTTTTGAAAAGGTTTCGACTACAGTAGAATATTACAGAAAGAAAATATAAATGCGGGGTTTTTTTGTTGGTTTTTTTTTTTTTTCTTTCTAAATGAAACTTACGTGGGCTAAAACTAGAGAATATTTTTAAACAAATATACAGGATGCAGGCAGACAAAGCAGGGAAACGGCCAGCCAACTGTTTAATAAAAAACTAACAAAATTTGGCTATTTCCAGAAAAACTATGAAGCGCCTCAACTAAAAGGAATGCATAATGAAATTCTAATCTAATACAGGTCAAAAATGTAAAAAGGTTATAAACCTTAACAGGAAAAATAAAACAACTTTTACTGGCCATTCCTGTTGAAATGAGAATCTTAAAAGTAACAGAAAAGTGGCTACAAACCCACTTAGAGCACCGAACAGAGAGAAAATCCGAGTCCATTTTCAATCTCTGTTGTATCATAAAATCCTGTGTTTCTACAGGTCAAACTGCTGGTGGCAGAAACAGAATTTTCTTTATAAACTGCAGATGTCCTGTACATAAAAAATTTCCTTGGAGTTGCACTAGTTCTAAAGACTTTTCTGTTCTAGCCTCCCTACTGCGGGTACTGGATTGTACTGATGGCGGCAACCTCAGGTGCAGAAAGTCTCTTTCTGTAACCCTTGATCATTGCTGGGCACCAAAGATAAGAAAAGCAAGACGGGGTACAAAAATGCAAAATTTCAACAGTAATGGCAATGTTTTGTATTAGTCCAACAGGGTCCTGCATTTCCTCCCCTCGGCAGCGAGAGCAAAGGCTTTAATCGGGGGGTAGCAAATCATGCAAGCGAAATCTGTCTCTGATGTGAGGTCGGACGTCTTCATTCTGTGGGGGAAAGGGCAGGTTTAGGAGCAGAAACACAGCCAGACCCACTGCAGCAGGGCTCCTTGCCTAGCACCCCTCTCTGAGCACAGCAAACAGACATCTCCACGCGCGATGCCGCTGCAGAGACTCACAGAAATAACTGCACAGCACCCACAGCAGCTGAGGAGTGATTTATCGGCCTTTCGGGAACAAAGAACACAGCACAGCCAGCCACGGGCACCGTGGCATCAAAGGCTCAGAGATCCCAGTTTCCTCAGAACTGATGTCACAATCCCACAGCCCTGCGTTTTCAGCACACTCAGCAGAGACAAGCCCCTTCTGCCGTGCGAGCACGTCCCTGGATCTTCAGCAGCCTCAACCCCAGTGACTCAGAAACCCTTGACAATAGGTGAAAATATCAAAGGGACTCACTGACAGTTCTGGGAAAAGCCACGAAAGCACTTACCAGCTCTACTAGTTTCTCCAGAAATGGAATCAACTTTAGGAGTTCATTATCATTTTTATCCATGAACCAGCTTTCTATAGGAATTCCATTGGAAAGCTGAAGTTAAAATATGAAAAAAAAATCATCAACACACAATTTATATTTAATTTATCTACAGATAAGACTTGTGAAATAGCAATTGGGGGAAAAAACGTTTCCAAGTTAGAGATTCCTGAGTGTTATTCCCACAGTTTGGTTTGCAGGCTTCAATACAAAGTCCCAAATTTACATTTCCCTGTGCCTCTCAGGAAGTTCTGCCCCCTGAGGTGTCTCCTGCCCCAGCCCCTCACCTGGTAAGCAAAGGCTTGCGGTGAATTGTCGATGATGATGGTTTTGGAGAGGTCTCTGCCCAGGATGTTTAAATCCTTGATGTAATTCCCTTGTACACACACACAATGCTCACGGAAGAGTCGATGCCTGCCATTAAAGGAAAGCACTGAGACCAAGGACAACAGCCACACTGCACCAGGAGCACACAGCTTTGCCAAGCATTATCCAGTTTTTTCCTCTTCCCATCTCCTGTTAGAGAATTGTGCCCCTTTTTTGCTTTCTTTAGAGCTTTTTATGGGTAAAATGCCCAGATCAGGTGATTTTGCACTAACCCAGTTCTGGGGTGGGTGTTTGTACTTATTTAGGCTCTTCTTTCTGACCCCTTTCCCAGCCAGGCCAACAAAGGGACCCAAGAACACCCCAAGGATGTGCCAAGCCCCAGGTGCTGCACAGAGCCAGTTTATTNTCCTGTTAGAGAATTGTGCCCCTTTTCTGCTTTCTTTAGAGCTTTTTATGGGTAAAATGCCCAGATCAGGTGATTTTGCACTAACACAGGGGTGGGTGTCTGTAATTATTCAGGCTCTTCTTTCTGACCCCTTTCCCAGCCAGGCCAACAAAGGGACCCAAGAACACCCCAAGGATGTGCCAAGCCCCAGGTGCTGCACAGAGCCAGTTTATTTGGTTTATTATCCCTTTATTCTGTCCCAGAATAAAGAACGGGGCCTCCCCGTGCCACCTCATGCCAGAACACGAGGTGTCACAAGGAGTGTTTCCTTTCCTGTTACACCTCTGCTGGCAATTAACCTATTTCAGTTGTTACACCTCAAAAAAAAAGCCTCAAAAAAAAAAGGCCAAAATATCCCACCAGCTCCTTCCCTCACCTTCAGCCTGCTCCTGTGTAATTCATGACAGAAGGAATGGATGGATGGATGGATGGATGGATGGATGGATGGATGGATGGATGGATGGATGGATGATGGATGGATGGATGGATGATGGATGGATGATGGATGGATGATGGATGGATGGATGGATGGATGGATGGATGGATGGATGGATGATGGATGGATGATGGATGGATGATGGATGGATGATGGATGGATGCTGGATGGATGGATGGATGATGGATGGATGATGGATGGATGGATGGATGGATGGATGGATGGATGGATGGATGGATGGACGGACTGACTAAAAGGACTCTGACTGAACACCCAGCAGGAACAAATCTCCCATTCCTGGCAGCTCCACAGATCTACAGACTGTGAAGCAGGCAGACTTGGTGCCGCCCGCCCCGGTGCAGAGCAGCCCCTTGCAGGCTGCCTGTGTGTTTAAATGCAGAGCTCCGAGCTGCACACAGCGTGCCTGATTCCAGGCAGGAGCCGAGCTCCCCACGTTGCCATGGAGGGAAAGGAGCTGCTGCATTTATATATAGAGTGTGAGTCACACGAGTGGGGCCTGACAGGCACCTGGGGCTGCTGGCAGAGCGGGGCCCAGCCAGCAGCAGCAGCACAGCAGCAGCACAGCAGCAGCACAGCAGCAGCACAGCAGCAGCACAGCAGCAGCCTGCAGGTCCCAGCCCCTGCCTGCTGCTTGTGCGTGGCTCTGCCCTGTGCCAGCAGCAGTCGCAGCCCTGCACCTCTGCAGGTGTCTGGAGGAAGGTGTGACACGTGGGCACAGCCCCACAGGGTGTTCTGGAGTGCCAGTGCCCTCCTGGGCACCATCCTCGGGCTGGCACCACCAGGGAGGGCTTCCCTGGCTTTCCTTTTCCCTCAGGAAACCCCCGAGCAGAAACCAATTTGGGGCCAGCACTGCCAGGTACAGCCCCCCTGCCAGTGAGAGTGACAGAATCCCACCCCTGAATTTCCTTCTGCCCTAAGGAACTGGAAAGGCCAAAGACTTCCCAACAAAGCTCACTACTGAGAAATGAAAAACCAAACCAGCTCCAATACAAAACCAACAGACAAATGAGTTTGTGATTGAATGAGAATGAAAAGCATGCTGATTGTAAAAGCTATACAAGCCACAATTTATAATAAATAACTGAAGTTATTAAGTGAAGTTTAAAAGTAATCAGGAACTTATTTAATTTCATTTCTTTGCAGTGTGTATTCCAGAGCACATTTTTGATCCCCAAGAGGTCATTTCCCATGAGCCAACCTAACAGAGACTGAACAGGGGTTTTGGTCTGGGGCTATTTTATCACAAGGCACCAATTCCATCACTTCAGGCCATTTTTCTCCCTCTCTTAGCCCAGGCAAACCCCCAAGGGATCAGTCAGGGACACACTGCACAAGTGGGCAGGCACAGGACTCAGTTTGCTCATGACATTTGTTCTGGTTTTACCTGACCAGCTGCTTTTTGGGGTCCAGGATGTTCAACAACTTGTCTGCATACACCTTCTTAGAAGCAGTAAACAGAATGATCTGGGGATTGGAGGGGAAAAAGTCACCACTGGAGGTACAAGGAAGTGGATACAATTTAAAAATGAAATTCAAAGGTGGTTGTGGGAATTTGTAGGAAAAAAAAAATTAAACTTTGATAGAAGGTTCTTATAGAGTGTATTTGTATGAAGAAATGTTGACTTAGAAATGTTATGCAATAAGATAGATATTGTTGAGAGAGAAATGGAATTAGAAATAAGTTTTAAAAGGTGGCTTTGTAAATAAGATTAGATATTTTGGAGAACCAGAATTATGAAAGATGTATTGTAACAAGATTTATGAGGGGTAATATTAGATGATTGGTTGTAAGGTATTTATAGCATGGTGTGGGTAAAGTTGATACGTTAAGGAATGCTTATAGTTTATTGTAATTAGGAAACAGTTGAGTTTTGACTGTAATGGTGTGAATTATATTTGTATTCTTTTACTTTTTAAATGAGATTGAGAATAGAATAAAAGTTTTAAAAGTTTTTTTTAGCTGTTTTATTTTTGGGTTAGAAAAGGGTTTGATCTGATAAACTGCTGTTTAGTGTGAGGAATAAGGGTGTGACAGCAGAAAAGTGACAAAGGGAGAAGGGATTGTGGCAGCTTTACCTCGTAGATCTGAGACATGCGCTCCAGGAACTCTCGGAAGAACGGCCTTAGCCGGACGTACACCTGCAGAGAGAGGGGCTC